ACCTTGAAGCATGTCCGGAGACCAATGGGCAGCCAGTGCAGCTCGCGGAGGATAGGTGGAACGTGGGTGTACCTGGGTGCACCCACGATCACTCGCACGGCTGCGGTCTGGACTAGCTGAAGTCTTCGAACACTCTTCAAGGGCAGCCCCATGTAGAGCGTGTTACGGTAATCCAGTCTTGAGGTCCGTGTGCCTTTGGCACAGGCTGTAGTCTAAGTGATGCTTCCTATCTGGGATTCCTGAAGAAGACAAGGACAAAGAAGTCTATACATTTGGACGATGATAATGATGATGACGATGATGATGATGATGATGATGATGATTTTATGTCGCAACAAATTAGGAAAAGTTAGCTGGGAAAACTCATTCCTCCCCAATTTTGGTTTCTGATCTGACCCATTTACTCTCCCTAGGAAAAACAAAGGCTTCCAATCTCTTATAGTAGCTTCCTCATATAAGTGAAATTAGTAGCTTAACTCGTGTATTCGAACTCTGCTCCACAGCTGCTCTGAACTGCCTCCCTGGAACCCATTATGAGCTATGCGCTCGGAACTGCAAAGCCACCTGTGCAAAAGATCTCCTGTGCGTGGATCCGTGTGTCGAAGGCTGCATGTGCAACGCGGGAACATGGGCAAACGGGCTGGCCTGTGTGACTGCAGAACAGTGTGGATGCTGGTATGAGGGAAGGCTCATCCCGGTGAGAAGGCTTTTTGTTTTTTTAATTTAATTTGGACTATCCTCTTTTCCAGAAATCAACTATTTTCCTTAAATGGAAAATTCCAACGATACGATGGAAAAAATTAAAATGTCAACCATGATATGGAGGGGGGGGGGGTATGGAAGCTTTGCCGGTTTTTTTAATGCACAATAGAATTCAGAGTTGAACGGGACCTTGGAGGTCTTCTAGTCCAGCCCCCTGCTTAAGCAGGAAACCCTACACTGCTTCAGACAAATGGTTGCCCAATCTTTTCTTAAAAATCTCCAGTGTTGGAGCAATTTGCAATTTCTGGAGGCAAGTTGTTCCACTGATTCATTGTTCTAACTGTCAGGGAATTTCTCCTTAGTTCTAGGTTGCTTCTCTCCTTGATTAGTTTCCACCCATTTTTTCTTGTTCTGCCCTCAGGTGCTTTGGAGAATAGGTTGACCCCTTATTCTTTGTGTCAGCCCCTGAGATATTGGAAATGTAAATGCATTGGATCACACCATGGTGCCCATATCCTCTGCCCAGTCTTGGCCATGTCTGGAAGATACAGTCAAAAATCCCAATCCAATAGGGACCAGCATGGTATGATCAAAGGTCAATGTATGTTGCCTACCATTTTATTATATGTCTCTATCTTGTTCTTTGTATCCCCCCCTTCCCAGTTTTATGTGAGCCGCCCTGAGTCCCCTCAG